CGCCACTTGGGAGCGCGGTGGCGCTCCTGCCGAGGGTTCGGATCCCACATACAGACCGGTTCCCGCTCACTGGCTGAGCGAGGTGTGGGCACAACGCCGAGGGTTGCGATCCCGTTGCCGGTCCCGGTCCGGTACGGGTGCGACACTGAGGGTTGCGATCCGTTGCCAGACACGAAAAAAGACAAAAAGGAAAAAAAAAAAAAAAGCTAGTAAGTTGAAGTGAAGGTGAACAGCCTAGATTTTCTCTGATGGCATTCCAGATCTTACCAGAGCTATATGGTGCACAACTGTGATTGTTTGGAGGACCATAAAAGCTGTTTTAAAAGACTATAAAAACCCATTTTTAAAAGAGATGGGTTATTTTTGACTGTTATTTTTATTACTTAGGGGGACAGAATTAATTTCCCAAATCAAATTGCTTTGCATTTCTTATAACTATTGTATCTACTTTCCATTTGGGAAATTAAGACACATTTATTTTATTCTTTTTATTAATGCAAAACAAAATATTAGGAGTACTCTTAAAGAATTGTAAATTTTATTGCAACACAGAATATGGTACAAGATCTTTAAAGTCAGTGATAGAAATAGTAACAGAGGTCCGGCCCGGTGGCGCACTTGGTAGAGGGCGGCGCTCCCGCCGAGGGTTCGGATCCCATATAGAGACCGGTCCGCTCACCTGCCCGGTGGCGCACTTGGTAGAGGGCGGCGCTCCCGCCGAGGGTTCGGATCCCATATAGAGATTGGTCCGCTCACCTGTTGAGCGCGGTGCGGGCGCGACACCAAGGGTTGCGATCCTGTTGCCGGTCACAAAAAAAGACAAAAAGGAAAAAAAAAAAAAGAAATAGTAACAGAAATAGAAATAGATGCTAATACAATGTCAATTAGGCATTTTTCAAAAATAAATCTAATTTATTAAATCTTAGAAGTGTTTCTTGGCTTAGAAGTATTTCCTGAATTAAAAGATATTGAAGAAGCAGTATACTAAAGATTGGGTACAGTATCAGAATTGTAGATATTTGTACTTGGGTAGAATGTTCTATAAATGACAAATTCATGATCATATGTGGAATGGGTGTTATCAAAAGGGCACAGTGGAAAAAAGTCATGATTATATTATGAAGACTGTTAAACATATGGGAAGTAGGAAAAAATCATGTCATGAACTCCCACACTCCCATCACTCAGATTCAACAGTTTTTAAGATGTCTATTTTTTTCTTTCTCTTTTTCTTTTGTTAAACCATTTTGAAGTAATTCACAACATGTCATTTTTCCCTTATTCAGTTTGTGTCTCTAAGAAAAAATCACAGTGACATTATCATATTGATCAAAATTAAAGGTAAATCTTTTGGCACCATCGATGTACAGTTCATACATCAAATTTCCAAGAATGATTTAAAGTATCTTTTTATAGTGGATTTGTATCAAAACAAAGTCCACTCATTACAAATGGTAGTTAATCTCTTTAGACTCTTTTTTTAAAAAAATTATTATTAGCATCTTACATTAGTATGGTACGTTTGTCACAGTTAATGAATTAATATTGATACATTATTACTAACTAAAATGTGTACTTTATTCAGATTTCCTTAGTTTTTATCCCATGTCCTGTTTTGGTTCCATGACCCCACCCAGGACACCACATTACATTTAGCCATCATGTCTCCTTAGGCTCCTCTTGCCTGTGACAGTCTCTCAGACTTTCCTTGTTTTTGATGACCTTGACACTTTTGAGGATTACTGATCAGTTATTTTGTAGACTGTCCTTCAGTTGAGATTTGTCTGATGCTTTTCTCATGATTAAACTATGGTTATTGATTTGGGGGTAAATTGCCACAAAGGCTATGAACATGACTTATTACTGTTGATGTTAACCTTGATCCCCCAACTGAGGAGTGAGGTCAGGTTTCCCCACTGTGAAGTGACTTTTTTTCTTCTTCTTCTTCATCATCATACTATTCTTTTTGGAAGGAAGTTATTATGCAAGGCCCACACTTAAGAAATGGGGAGTCATATCAGTATAAACTTGTGTTTATTTTATACCTTGGGTTATGATCTAATAGTACTTTATTTTATTCCTCAAATTGTTCCAGCTTTGGCCATTGGGAGCTCTTTCAGTTGGCTCTTGTGTCCCTTCACTATGCCCCCATCATTTTTGTTTTTGTTTTTCATTGTTTTTTCTTTGAGTTCTTCCTTATTTTCTGGCACTGCAAGCTGCTCCAAACTCATTTATATTCCTTGCCCTAACTCTAGTACCAATCATTTCTCCAAGGATCCCTGGTTGCTATTACTGGAAAATGGTGTTAGAAACCAAGATCTGGGCTCTAGGTTATTGCTGCTGGGGTGTCATTAGTTTTAGGCCTACTAAGCTAACACAGCAAGGAGATACATGTGTATATACTAACTGTGTATATATCTATAAGTATATATGTAATCGCAGAGTTCATGAGATGTCATACTCAGAAGCTTATGAGTTCATTCTGATGTCCCCAACTCTAATCCATTACCACATGTACCACTCTAGCCTTCGCCCTTGCTTGTCTATACCTCCTTAGTCCAACTATGAAACCTTGGCTCCCACTATTTGCCATCCATTTACCTAATTGTTCAGTTTCAGTATGCATATATAGTAGTTATATTAGTTTCTTAGGGCTGCTGTAATAAATTGCCATAAACTTGGTGGCTTAAAAGAATAGAAATGTATCCTCTCACAATTCTAGAAGCTAGAAGTCCAAAATGAAAAGGTAAAAAGTATGGAAGAAAAAGAAAACAGAATAGAGAATGAGAGATTTAGGACATGGTGAAAAGTTGTAGCTCAGTATAGTTGGAGTCCCAGAAAGGGAGGCGAGACAAAATAGAACATAAGCAATAATTGAAAAAAAATCGACAACAACATCACCAATCTGATGTTAGACATCAATCCACAGATTCAAGAAGCTCAACAACCCCAAGTAGAGCGAATAACAAATAAAACCACACCTAAGCACACCATAATCAAGCTGACACCCAAGGATGATGAGAAAATCTTCAGAGCAATCAGAAAAAAAGAACAAAAATTATAGAATGACATAATATGTAAGGACATTTTTTAGGTGCTGGCAAGAAACCCTGCCAATTTCTAATTCCAGCAAAGAGGTGTAACAGACCAATTTATCCTCCTGCCTGAAACAAACAAACAGTCCAGACAAGCTATATGAAATAATGGCTTTCTGGCATTGGACATCAGGCAGTACAGGTCATTGATCCCTGAGAGAAAGGAAACAAACAAGATAAGCCCTATAATTTCCTAGTGTACTGGCTGGAGAGAGTGTCCAGGCTTTAGTGTAGGAAGGAAGAATCCAAGTGGAGCTTAGCAGTCTCCTTGAGTTGAAGAGATAGGAGTTGAGAGTCTAAGGAGGCCATGGTGATTAGAGTTCACAGCGTAGTGTACTGGAAAGGAGAGAGCTACACAGAGTGTGTTCCAGAGATCTGCAATACCTTTCATGTCTTCATCTGAGTATTGAGTGGTGCATGCATGTTAGGAAGCTATCAGAGGCTAGGAATAGAAAACCCTTTGAAGGGGTTAGAGGAAACAGTTCTCACACGAGGATGGGAATAGTTTATTTTTACCAGTCAGGGCGGAAAAACCTTTAATTCATGGGACATTGAGTACCGAGAAGGGCTTTGCCTTAGTAGTGAGGAAAATTAGTCCTAGACTAAAGGCTGCTCCAGTCCCACATAACAAAGCAGAACAATGCCCAAGAATATTGGTAGGAGAAAAAAGAGATAAAATTGACAATACCTGACATTCATGAGGACTAGTTTTCCTCACTAAGGATGGTCCCGTAGGCAGGGCCACTCTGGCAGCGAGCTTGTGGTACATGTTTTGTTCTGAAAAAAGATGAGAATAGACCAGCTATAGTGCAAGACAGCATGAAATGAACCCTGGTTATAATCTGGGCATGACTTTGTTATACCTATGAGATTTAAAAAGAAATTATAGCAGGAATACAAGTAGAATGTACACCATATGAAGAAATCATAGTTTATTTATGGTAACATTTAGTATTCTCATCAGTTGTTGGAACAGTTTCAGCATCCAATATACAATCCTTGGTTCTTTGGAAATAAGATTTGTATAAATATTAACATCGATTAGATCTATATGGTGGGTATATAGATCCCATGGTGGATGTTTCTGTGCTTTTCTTTATGTTTGGAATGCTATTAGATTATTAAACTCTAGGGTGATTTATGACTGCCTAAGAATGTGGCATTCATATCATACCTTTTTATCCATTTACCAGGTTCCCAGTCTAAGAGGGTGACTTTCCAGGATAGAGGAGGAGCATTTCTCTATCAAGTATATAGAGACACATTTGCTCCTTTCCTACTGCCAATAAATATGAAGAAAATGGAAATGATTTAGAAGAGAGTTGGAAAATTACAAAAGTTTGGATTTTTTCGGATGGAGAGTAACATTTTGATGGCATTTTAATAGAGATTTTAATGTGTATCAAGCTTTAATCTCAAAGATAATAATGAGTTGGTTTGGCAAGGGGAAGTTTGGGAATCAGTGAAACACTCATATATGCTGAATACCTGCTATGTGCCATAAATTGTGCTAAGAGCTCCTTATCTGTTATCTCATTTTAATCTATAAATAATTTATATGGTGCAAACCTCACTTCCCTATTATAGATGAGGAACCCAAGACTCAGAAAAAAGCAATTTGTCCAGTATTATCAATAGTACTGCCAGAAAAAACTAATATAAAGTGTAGTATAGATGATTTAGGTTATAAGGGGAAACATTTACTAGTGGTGGAAACTGTGATTGCTCACCTAGGAAAATTTAACAGCTTCTTTTACTTCTCTGGAAATTTTAGACTTATTTTTTGTGATGGTTTATGAATGGTTCTGTCCAAAGGCAGAGGAGAAAGTTTCTTCCAAGTCTTAAGATACTGTAATTTGGTATTTCTATGATTACAAATGTGTTCTTTATTTCCTTTTTCTCAAGGTGGATAATATAAATGCAGCTGTGATGGATTTGAAAAAAAAGAAGATCCGGAGTCTAAGTGAGGAGGCCAAAGTAGGAGCACATGGAAAACCAGTGATTTTTCTTCATCCTAAAGACTGTGGTGGAGTCCTTATAGAACTAGAGCAAGCTTGATTTATATTTGCAAGGAACTAATTTAGTTGGCTTGGAAAAGCCTTATCAAATACTGTCAAAAGGTACTATGACATTGAGTTCTTCAGTGCTTCCATCACGTAAAAGTTCAAAGTTAAAAACTAATTACAGATTAAAATATATGAGTAGATACATATACATATACTCATATATACATACATACATAAATACACACATATATATTTGTTTTTTGGATTAACAAATATATATATTTTTTGTTGTTAATTTGGATTGGGAGAAAACCTTTATTACTAAATACTTAGGGAACATTATTAAAATTATAGTCATAGAAATAAATTATTCCATATCTAAAATGGGGTAATCGAGTACAGTATGTTAGCTGTATAAAACGGGTTGTGTGTGTGTGTGTGTGTGTGCGCGCGCGTGCGTGTGTGCACACGTGTGGTGAATACAATTGTTTAAGGTTGGGAAGTTTTGATCTCAAAATTTTTGCTCTTTGGGAACAACTCATGGTCACAAGTTCCTTAAGGGTGAGGTGTTTTTAATCAGTACTCATTTATATAGTTATCTATCACTTAGGTGCTAGAGCACCACAACAGGGCCCAAGGGAGTACACAAAATAAATAGACACCCACTGCCAAGAAGCAGTACAATGTACAGTGGTACAATTGGGGAAAGTACTACATGAAATAAATGTAAACACTGACAAAATAACATATGAATGAGTTAAAAAAGGAAAAGAAAGATAAAGGAATATAGGTCTCAGAGTGAGTTTAGAGGCATATAAGGTTTTTGGTCAGACTCTCAAATACTTTAGAAACAAGTATCTCTGTCTGTCTGTCTATTTTGTCGATGTACAATGTGGTTGATTATTGTGGCCTATTACCGAAACCTCCCTCCCTCCTCCCTCTCCCCCCTCCCACCCAACAATGTCCTTTCTGTTTGCTTGTTGTATCAACTTCAAGGAATTGTAGTTGTTATGTCTTCTCCCCCCCCAGTTGTGTGTGTGTGTGTGGGGGGGTGGGTGTGTGTGTGAATTTATTTATTTATTTTTAGCTCCCACAAATAAGTGAGAACATGTGATATTTCTCTTTCTGTGCCTGACTTGTTTCACTTAATATAATTCTCTCAAGGTCCATCCACTTTGTTCCAAATGGCAGTATTTCATTCATTTCGCAGCACTCTTTACAGTTTCTAAATTTAAATGAAAGTTTACTTTTCCTGCTATTCCCACCTTTATCCGAATTAATGTCTTTCTAGGTCCCTCCCCATTTCCTAGCAATAATTATTCCATATATATTTCTGGCTACAGAAGTTTCCATTCATTTCCAGAGAATACTGCTCTCAACCCCTTGATTTTGTTGCAAGGATTTCAAATCAATTTCTATCAAGGAAAAGGGCTGAGCACACACACACACACAAAAAGATATTGCAAGATAATGATACTTAGAAGCATCAAACTGTCACTAAGTCATACACTCATATGTGGAATCTAAAAAAAAAAAAGTGGTTCTCATGGAAGTAGAAAGTAGAACAACAGTTACCAGAGGCCAGGAGGGAAAAGGGTGGTGGGAGAAGTGGTGAACTAACAGGTACAAAACTATGCTGTCTACCCTAAGTGAATCATTGTGCAGTATATGCATGTATTGAAACGACACAACTGTACCCCACAAAAATATACATGTAAATGTTAAATTTTTTTTTAAAACTGTCACTAAGTCATATGATCTATTCAAAAGGGCTAAATTTCAGTATGTGGAGAAAGAACCAAGAAAAACAGAACAGAGATATTTAGAGCAATTCTCTCAGGACTTGAAGTAAGCAGGTGACTCAGAAGGCAGGGGCATGTCATAGTGCTGCAAACAGGAAGATGGGCTCAAAGCAGTACTTAGAGCCTGAAGTCCCCTACACTCTCCTTTAGAGTTGGGTCTCAAGACCAAGAGTCTTAATCTGGAGGAAGGCTTCAGACCCCAGGACACCAGATGCAGTAGAAGGCAGAGGCAGAGTGAAAACAGGGGTAATGAGGGAAAGCCTGCATGCCCACTTTCTTGCTAGGCTTCCAGAGAGCCAGCAGCAAGCTCAATTCTCATGAGGTTGAGGTTTTCTTCCCTAGAGAGATTAAATGCTGAAAGACAATATACTTCAACATTTTGTGTCTTCCACAAAATGATCAACTCTGTCTAAATCCCCTCACAATGAAGGCCATTAGTCAACAAGCCTCACTATTGTAAATGGGCAGGCTTTCTTGATTTCTCTTTCTGCATGTTCACTATTGGAGAATAGAAATGCTACTGATTTTTGTGTGTTGATTTTGTATCCTGCTACTGTGCTGAAATCATTTATCAACTCCAAGAGGTTTTTGGAGAGGCTTTAGGCTGTTCAATATATTGGATTATGTTATCTCCAAACAGGGACAGTTTGACTTCATCTTTTCCAATCTGGATGCCCTTTATTTCCTTTTCTTCTCTGATTGCTCTGGCTAGTACTTCCAACACTATGTTGAATAAGAGTGGTGAGAGTGGACATCCTTGTCTAGCTCCTGTTCTTAAAGGAAAAGTTTTCAGCTTTTCCCCATTCAGGATGATATTGGCATTGGGTTTATCATATATGGCTTTAATTATGTTGAGATACTTTCCATCTATACTTAACTTATATAGGGTGTTTCTCATTAATCAATGTTGAATTTTATCAAATGCTTTTTCAGCATCTATAGAGATAATCATATGGTCCTTGTGTTTGATTTTATTAATATGGTGTATCACATTTATTGATTTGCGTATGTTGAACCAACCTTGGTCTGTCTGTCTCTCTATCTATCTATCTCTATCTCTATCTCTTATCTATCTCTATCTCTATCTCTCTCTCTCTATCTCTTGATACAACAAGACAGACATCTGTAAACCAGGAAAAGGTCTTTCACCAAGAACCTGACCAGGTTGGCATCCTGATCTCAGACTTAAAACCTCCATACCTTCTTTCATGTTGTGAACTGACCTGTGAAGAGGCAAGGAAATAAGAGGATCCTCAGCCCAACCTCCCACCTGGAACTCAATCCTGCTACCATGAGTGAGCTTGAAAGCAAATCCTTCCCCAGTCAAACCTTAAGATGACTGAAGCACTACAACACCTTGATTGTAGGCTTGTGAGAGACCCTGACTGAGCCAGAGAACCCAGCTAAGCTGTCTACAAATTCCTGACCCACAGGAACTTTTGCTATTTAATAATTGTTTAAGCCACTAAAAAAAGAAAAAGAAAATATGAGATGAATTTCAAGGATGACAGATGGATAGATACATGAAATGCATAGTGTGTAGGAAAGTGGTTAACTTAAATTCATGGATGATTCGATGTTGAATAAATGAGTAGGTGTGTAGGCATTGAGCCTGTTATTATGGCAAGTTATGAAAAGTATAACATCCAGTTATACTTGTCATTTAAAATTTAAAAGCAAAAATTACAACATTGTCTATGTGGTTCTCAATGTATATAGAGGTAATATTTAAGACAACTGTATCGTGGTGGGAGGGACAGTAAAAGGGACTTAAATGGTGGCTAAATGTCCACATTCCACTTGAGGTGGTAAATATTGATACTAGTAGACTGCAATAAACTGCATATGTGTTTTACAGTCCCCAAAGTAACAACTGAAAAAATTGTACAAAGAAATACACTAGAGGGTAGCGGCGCTGCGCGGAGTGGCGGAGGCGGACCCGGACCCGCGGCGGCCCGACTTTCCAGCACCTCAATGGCCTCCACAAAGAAGACACTTCAGGGTCTTGTTGCTGCAACCATCACACCGATGACAGAGCAAGGATGGCGACGGGTCTGAGCGGCCATGCCAGGAGACAGCGCGATCCTGTGAGCTGTGCACTGTGATACCAGAGTATTGATTGCATT